TTTTTTTTTTTTTTTTACTGCATCACCTGGGTTTTCTATGTATAGGATCATGTCATCCACAAATAGAGATAGCATTACTTCCTCTTTGCCAATCTGGATGCCTTTTATTTCTCTTTCTTGCCTTATTGCCCTGTTTCATTTATTTCTGCTCTGGTTTTATTATTTCCTTACTTCTAGATACTGTAGGATTCTTCTGTTGCTCCTTTGCTAATTGTTGGAGTTGTTGACTTAGAGTGTTGATTTTGTTTCTTTTCTCTTTTTTGATGTATGCATTTATTACTATAAACTGACCTCTGAGTACTGTTTTCACTGTGTCCCATAGGTTTTGGTAAGATGTATCTTTCTTCTCATTTGTTTCTAGAAATCTTTTTATTTCACTTTCTATTTCTTCTATTAGCCAGTAGTTTTTGAGCAATGTATTGTTCTACTTCCACATTTGATGTTTTTTCCTTGCTCTTCCTATTGTTAATTTCTAATTTTATAGCATTTGTGGTCCAAGAAGACGCTTTGTAGTATTTCAATGTTTTTGAATTTATTGAGGCGTGTTTTATATCTTTATATATGATCTATTCTGGAGAAAGATCCACGTGCACTGGAGAAGAATGTGAATTATGCTTCTGTTGGGTGGAGTGCTCTGTAAATAACTATGCGGTTCAGTTGGTTGACTGTGTTGTTGAATTCTCTCTTTGTTGAGTTTTTTCTACTTTGTCTCTCCTTGAAAGTGGGTGCTAAAATCTCCCTACTATTACTGTAGAGTTGTCTATTTTTCCCTTCAATTTAATTAATATTTGTTTGACATAATTTGGAGCACGTTCATTGGATACATACATATTTATTATTGTTAGGTCTTCTTGATCAATACACCCTTTCCGCATCATATAGTGGCCTTCTTTGTCTCTTATGCTGTTTTTCACCTTAAAGTCTATTTGATCAGAAATTAATATTGCAAATCTTGTTCTTTTTTGCTTACCATTGGCTTGGTATATTTTTTCTCCACCACTTAACTTTTAATTTGTTTTTTTTTTCTTTCTGTCTACGGTGGATCTCTTGTAGGCTGCATAACAATGGGTCTTCTTTTTTGATCCAGTCTGCCACTGTCCTTCTCTTGATTGATGCATTTCGTCCATTCACATTGAGTATAATCAGTGATAGGCATGAATTGGTTGCTGTCATTCTATTGTGTTGCCTGATAATGTCTTGATTTTGCCCTCATAACTGATGGACAATTTGGCCAGATACAGGATTCTTGGTTGGAAGTTCTTTTCCTTCAGTGTTTTATATATGTCGTTCCACTGCACTTTTCCCTGCATGGTTTCTGCTGAGTAATCAGAACTCAGCCTAACTGATAGATGATTATAAGTGATATTTCTTTTTTCCCAGGCTGCTAGCAGAAGTTTGTCTTTGGTTTTGGCACATTTGATTATCATATGCTTCGGTGTTTTTCTCTTGAGATCTATCCTGTATGGGATCCTTTGAGCTTCTTGGACAAATATCTTTTCTTCATTCATGATATGGGGGAAATTTTCTGTTACTAAGTCTTCTACTATTTTCTCAGGGCTTCCCCCCGCCCCCTCCCCCACGCCTCTTCTTGTTCTGGAATTCCAATGAGGTGTATGTTGTTTCTTTTCATGTCATCCCATATAATTCTTAGGTTCTCTTCATTTCTCTTAAATCTTTGTTCTGATATTTCTTCATACAGGCTAGTCTCGAGAGATTTATCTTCTAGTTGGGAAATGTGTTCTTCAGCCACTTCTAGCCTATTCTTTTGTGCTTCCACTGTGTGGTGCAGTTCTTTAATTTTGTTATGCATCTTCTGGATTTCTAACTGCTGTTTCTGTATGAGTTCTAATTGTGTATTACTCTTGTTATTTTATTCTTGAATGGTTTTCCTGAGTTCTTCCAGGGTACTGTCTGTGTTCTCCTTGCTTCTGTTTGGGGTTTCCTTAAGCTCTTGTAGAATTCTATAAACATACCTTTTAAATTTCTTCTAGGCTAATTCTATTGCCTTCTTTTCCTCAATGTTTAATGAGACTTTTGTTTGGAATTTTATTTCTATT